CTGGGCATTCAGGATGTCCGGCAAACCGAGACGGCATTCAGTCAAACAACTGCCATGATTTCGGTCCTCCTTACTGAAGTATTTCATGCTCTAGAACCGATGTGTTTGCCCAACTTTGTCATTGTGTACAGCTGTAAAACTCGACTTCTTATACAAAAATATTTTCTAAATACATTTATCCGCTTAGGTTTTAACCCCAGATCGCGTCTGAACGAGACTTAAGAATGAAAATACCAGAGATTTATTTCAATTACAAATTATCTGAATTTGTTTACCGCGCTGATTGTAAAGTATACCTCAACTTTTAAATGTTAAATTGAATAAAAACTTTGTTTAACTCGGTAGTTTCATGAGATGATAAAGTTGCGTCATATTGTGATATAAATATATATTTGTTTAAATCTTATCAGTCTAATCACAATAAAATTCCTATTAAATATATTAAAATATTACTATAATTAATATTTAAATATTTAAAATATATTAAATGATGTTCTCTATCGAAATGTTCGATTTACATTAGAACATCACTTTTTTACACGACATGTTTCAGTTCTAAAAGAACCATCTTCAGGTGTATAAAATTATATAAACTTAAATATAATTTCTTAAATGCAACTTTTAGTCAGATGTTTATCAGATTTCAAATGATGTTTTAAACAAATATATTAAACAAATCGGTAGTTTTATGTAATTTATTTAATATATATATATAAATATAGTAAAATGTAATCGATATATTAAACGAGTCTGGGAATGATTAATCGAGATTTGTTAATAATTTTGCCTAAATTAATATGAGTGAATATATCACAGATTTTTTGAAAGGTGTTTGGAGGAAGATGGGAACGGCATTTGACGGAAGGGTAATTACAAAATCTGATTTCTGTCATGAAATGTCAAGACATTTGTGTATCTTTGTAATTAAACTTTTAATCTGAAAATATATATCTAATAGGATTAAACTCAGTGTCCTCCAGCCTTCGAATGCGCAGGGCTAAACATTTTTAATTTCGAATTGAATTACCATTCCTAAAATATTCCTTGGATTGTCTCTGTTTTAATTTTAACGTGTTTAACAAATAATGGTCATTTGTCTTTAGGGGACCATTTTGGTCGGATAATCGGAACTTTGATGTGTTTCTATAGTGACCGAGGGAAAAGTCAAGTTTAGAAGAAATAAAACGTTTGTCGAAGCACAAAGAGTGATTACGTCAAGATTTGCAAGATTTGTTTGTCGTGAGATAAAAAAAATTTAAACCGAAATTCTTAACTCTGTGGTTTAATGGTTTGTTTATTCTCGTGCCCTAATATATTTGGGATGTCGTAAAGTCTAGACGTCTGGCTTTAGGAAACATTATACAAATGCAGCAGATCAGAATTTTAAGACTGGATATACAGCACTTGAAGTGGAATGCCACATGGAAGGAGATCAACATCGGGAGACGGATGATGACGTCAGACCTTGTTGAAATTTTAAGTACGAAGTGGACAGATTAAAGATGAGACAGTAATTGAAGAGCGTATAATAAATCTTGAAGGTTTTCTGTGTCGATTCCAATTAACCTGAAACAAAAAAAAGGTCTAAATGTGTTCGATTGCTAATTTTACGTTATTAAATCACGTTGTCGTTAACAGGTCTGCCTCACATTCCTGTCCACGTGTCAGGATTTGGTTCGCGTCTGAAATAGATCATTTACGTGTTTTCACTTTAAGTAATTTCAACTCCCTGAAAGTAATTTTTATTTCTTAACGTTTACAAATTTTTTGGAAAGATTACTTATTCATTATTACGTGTTCTGTACCTGATAAGGCTTATATATTTTTCGTAGTGATTTTGTTTTATATCCGAGATGTTACGGGTTCAGATATTTACCCTGATACCGGCTATATAAACTGAGATATTTCGTATTTTTCTCAGTTTCTTTATACTACAATGCTACGTTGTCTTAAATTAGGTCATCCTACTACTCGACGCTGAAGTCTACAGACAGTGTCATCAAATACATCGTAGACCAATAAGACTGATAAACTAATGGTTAAATTAAAATTAATGATACGCCAGCCTATCTCCTTTTGAAAAGCGAGATATATTCCTTTTTATAATCTTTGACTTAGAATAAATCGGTATTAGTCAGAGGGCTCCGTGCTTATAAGCGAGAGATATGGTGCATATCGTTGAAAGGGTTAATTATTTCGATGTCGTGTGTTTAACATTCACTGATGATTGCTTTAAAATGTCTTTGTCCTTTTGTAGAATGAGCATGTACATCCTCGTTTTGTTTGTTATCGGCAGATTCCTCCGAGTCGGGTTCTAATAAAGGCCGGGATGTTAGTCGAGGCGGCGGGTCCACGAAGGTATCGTCAGACGGGAAGCCGACGCGGGTCCGGACTGTCCTCAACGAGAAGCAACTCCACACTCTACGCACGTGCTACAACGCGAATCCCCGGCCCGACGCCCTCATGAAGGAACAGCTGGTGGAGATGACGGGTTTGAGCCCGCGAGTCATCAGGGTCTGGTTCCAGAACAAGCGGTGTAAGGACAAGAAGAAGGCGATTCTCATGAAACAGCAGC